GAAAATCCCAATTTTTGGATGGGAAAATCCCGATTTTTAAGAGGGAAAATCCCCATTTTTGAGTGGGAAAATCCCCATTTTTGGGTGGGAAAATCCCCATTTTTGGGTGGGAAAATCCCCATTTTTTTGTGGGAAAATCCCCATTTTTGAACGGGAAAAATCCCAATTTTTGGGTGGGAAAATCCCGATTTTTTTGTGGGAAAATCCCGGTTTTTGAGCGAGAAAAATCCCCATTTTTGGGTGGGAAAATCCCCATTTTTGGATGGGAAAATCCCGATTTTTAGGCGGGAAAATCCCCATTTTTGTGTGAAAAAATCCCGATTTTTGGGTGGGAAAATCCCGTTTTTTTTGTAGGAAAATCCCGATTTTTAAGTGGAAAAATCCCGATTTTTGGGTGGGAAAATCCTGATTTTTGAGTGGAAAAATTCCCATTTTTATGTGGAAAAATCCTGATTTTTAAATGGAAAAAAATCCCAATTTTCAGGTGGGAAAATCCCGATTTTTGGGTGGAAAAATCCCAATTTTTAAGTGGAAAAATCCCAAATTTTCAGGTGGGAAAATCCCGATTTTTGGATGGAAAAATCCCAATTTTTAAGTGGAAAAATCCCAATTTTCAGGTAGGAAAATCCCAATTTTTGGGTGGAAAAATCCCAATTTTCAGGTGGGAAAATCCCGATTTCCTCCTTGGATTTCCTCATTTTTTCCCAACCATTTTAAGGAATTTTTGGACGATTCCTTTCACGATTTTGTGAATTTTCCACCCAAACTTTTCATTTTTTTCCCCGCTTTAATTTTCATTTCATTATTCTAATTAACTTTAAACCGTTTTTAATTAATTATAATTAAATTTTTACATTTTTCCCCCCCAATTCCCGACACATTTTAATTTTTATTTCACTTTATCTTCACTTTTTCCCCCTTTTTTTTTTATTTTTAAGGGAATTTTGGGATATTTTTAATTTTTCCCTGGATTTGAAATGGAATTTTGGGCGTTTTCTCCACGATTTTTATCCGTTTTTAGGTGAATTTTGCTGATTTTCTCCCACGATTTTGGGAATTTTAATTATTTCCCCATTTCTTTAGAGTTTCTTGATTTTTTAACCATTTTTTTAGGGAATTTTGGATGCAATTTTGGACATAATTCCGCTTTTTTTCCCCCGTTTTTATGGATTTTTTTGCACATTTTCATTTTTTCCCCGCCCTTTTTTTCCCGTTTTTCCCGTTTTTTATCCATTATTTTCCTTTTTTCCCGTTTTTGAACCGTTTTCCTCCCGTTTCCCACAGAAAAATTGGAGCCAGAACCTCAAATCCCCCCAAAAATCTGATTTAATCCATGGGAAAAAACGGAATTTTGGGGTAAAAAAACCCAAATTTTGGGGCTTTTCGCTGCTCAAAAACCTCCAAATTTCATTTTTTTCCCTAAAATTGGGATTTTTTGGGGGGGAAAAACCGGGAATTTCGATCCCAAATCGCCACAGGGGGGAAAAATCCTCGGGAATTTGGGGAACATTCGGGATTTATTTACATTTTTACGGGAAAAAGACCCAAAAAAGAACAAAATTCCCCCAAAATCTCCCCCAAAATCCATCCCGAGGCTCTGGAAAATTCCAGGGATTTTGGGGAATTTTTTTTGGGGATTCTTTGGGGTGGAATTGGGGAGTTTTGGGATTTTTTTTTTGGAATATTTGGGGATGAATTTGTTGGATCCGGGTTGGGGTTTTTGGGGTTGGATTTGGGGATTTTGGGGTTTTTTGGGGTCAAATTTGGGGATTTTGGGGTTTTTTGGGGTCAAATTTGGGATTTTTGGGGTCGGATTTGGAATTTTTTGGGATTTTTGGGGTCGGATTTGGGATTTTTGGGATCGGATTTGGGTTTTTTGGGGATTTTTGGGTCCAAATTTGGGAATTTTTGGGATCGGATTTGGGTTTTTTTGGGATTTTTGGGGTCGGATTTGGGATTTTTGGGTTCAAATTTGGGAATTTTTGGGGTCGGATTTGGAATTTTTGGGATCGAATTTGGGTTTTTTGGGGATTTTTGGGGTCGGATTTGGGATTTTTGGGCTCAAATTCGGGATTTTTGGGTCAGATTTGTGGGATTTTGGGATTTTTGGGGGTCGGATTTGGGATTTTTGGGGTCGGATTTGGGATTTTTGGGGTTGGATTTGGGATTTTTGGGCTCAAATTTGGGTTTTTTGGGGATTTTTGGGTCAGATTTGGGGGATTTGGGGATTTTTGGGGTCGGATTTGGGATTTTTGGGATGGAATTTGGGTGGTTTTGGGATTTTTGGGTCAGATTTGGGGCTTTTGGGGATTTTTGGGGGTCAAATTTGGGATTTTTGGGATCAAATTTGGGATTTTTGGGGGTCAAATTTGGGATTTTTGGGATGGAATTTGGTGTTTTTTGGGATTTTTGGGTCAGATTTGGGGGATTTTGGGTGGATTTGGGGGTTTTGGGTGGATTTTGGGCAGATTTGAGCATCCCAGACCAAATTTTGGATGGATTTGGATCAATTTGGGTGGATTTTGAGTGAATTTTGGGCTGATTTCAATCCCCTCACCCCACATTTCACCCAAACCCAACCCGCCCTCCAACCCCAGATCACAAATTTAACCCCATTTTAACCCAAATTTAACCCAATTCTAACCCAAATTTAACCCAATTTTAACCCAAATTTAACCCAAATTTAACCCAAATTTAACCCAATTTTAACCCAAATTTAACCCAATTTTAACCCCATTTTAACCCAAATTTAACCCAAATTTAACCCAATTTTAACCCAAATTTAACCCAAATTTAACCCAAATTTAACCCAATTCTAACCCAAATTTAACCCCATTTTAACCCAATTCTGACCCAATTTTAACCCCATTTTAACCCCAATTTAACCCAATTTTAACCCAAATTTAACCCAAATTTAACCCCATTTTAACCCAAATTTAACCCAATTTTAACCCAATTCCAACCCAATTTTAACCCAATTCGACCCAAATTTAACCCAATTTTAATCCAATTCCAACCCAATTTTAACCCAACTTTAACCCAATTCTGACCCGATTTTAACTGAATTCCAACCCCATTTTAATCCCATTTTAACCCAAATTTAACCAAATCCCGAACCAATTTAAACCAAATTTTAACCCAATTCCAACCCAACTTTAATCCAATTTTAGCCCAATTTTAACCCAAATTTTACCCAATTTTAACCCAATTCTGACCCAATTTTAACCCAATTTTAATCCAATTCCGACCCAATTTTAACCCAATTTTAACCCAACTCCAACCCGATTTTAACCCAATTTCAACCCAATTTTAACCCAATTTTAGCCCAATTCCGACCCAATTTTA